GGGTGTGTGAGCTCCACAATGAGCTCTACACTAGCCTGAGTTAAGTGAGAGACCCTGTCTCAATAACCCAACTTAGAAAGCTGAAAGACTATCTCTCTCATTGTTTAAAGAAATAACAATAAGCACACACATGGGCAATTAGGTCCAGTCCCTCACACTCAGCAAAGGGTCTAGCAGGGACTGGACAGTGGTCTTCAGGTTGGGACTTCCAGCTTGGGCCACCAGCTCACAGTAAACAGCACACTCCTCGGCAAGCCCTGAACTCCTGACAAAGCTCTTTCAACTGTGGCGACTTCCCATACTTCTCAGGCGCCAGATAAAATGTCATAGGCAGGAGCTGGGGTCATGACGTCTACCGAGGGGCCTAGAAATCTGCATTTCCACCAGGCTTTCCAGGTTCTTCCGTGTGCACTAAAGTATGGAAACTATTAGGGAAGCATCCCTTGTTTAGTCACGGGTTCTGGGGAGGATTTTTATCTCTTTATTTGTGTATCCGCTCATGTGTGTATGCATGCTTGTTTGGACATGCACCTGTAAGGAGGCCAGAGGACAACTTTGGATGTTGTCACTCAGGAGTTGTTTACCTTATTTTGAGGCAGAATCTCTTCTAAACCTGGAGCTCACCAATTAGGCAAGATCAGCCCTTCAACAAACCCCATCTCCCCATCTCCAGCACTGGGATTACAACTGTACACCACCAAACCCAGGTTTAAACATGTTCTTTGTTTCAATTAACATAATCACACCCATTTTTCCCATTAATTTTCCTCATATGTCCTTTTCTCTTATGTCTCTCCCCCCGCCTCAAATTCATAGTCTTTTTCTTTGATTATCTATATATATATAGATATATGATATCATTACATATATTTGTACATACAGGTGTGTATGTGTACAAATACATACATACAACCTGACAAGTCCCTTTACTGTTGCTTGTACGTATCTGATTTAAAGGTTGACCAGTGATCTTTGTTCTCTGCATTTTAATCAGTTGTGGCTTTCTGTAATGGGTTCTGTCTATTGCAAAGAGAAGTTTCTTTGCTGAGAGGGAAGAACTACATTTATCTGTGCACGTAAGTATTTAGAATGAATGTAGCTAGGAATCAGGCTGGTTTAGCAAAGTGATGGTTGTAGGATCTCTTCTGAGATCCATGACTTCACTAGCCCCGGGTAGTTGCCTGGGTTTCTGGTGCCAGGCACAATTTTTCTCCTGTTGAGCAGGCCGTAAGTCCAACTGACTGCCAAGATAGGACTAACGCTATTGCACCTTTAGGGATATCTTTCCAGGTGGGTCATTGCTATGGCCCACACCCAGCTTTTTTACATGGGTTCTAGGCATCAAATTCTCAAATCCTCATGCTTGGAGGGCAAAGGCGCTTTTCCAATTAAGTCACCTTCTTAGCTAGATTTAAATTTTTTGGAATAAAAAATCAGACTTGAAATTTCTTAGAGGACAAAAGACCAAAGACTAGGAGGGGTAGGGAAGGGGAGGGAAAAGAGTGATAGGAAGACAACAGATAGGATTCAAGTCTCACACTCTGGGAGGCACTAACCTGAGAGCCCCAGCACATTCCCATCTTCAAGCTCGCCCCTTGAGAAACACAGCCACCAGTGGTGGTCCTGAAGTTGGTCCAGCTGGCCAGGTGTCATGACTGCACTGACGCTCTTCAGCATTCACATCTGTGCTTCGGCATCAAAGTTAGCGTTCAATCTGTCACCTCTGCTGTACAATTAACTAAGGAGTACCTCGTCTGACAGCTTGGTCAGACCTGTCTATCCCGAAGCTGTCAGTGCCTGTCTTAGTTAGATTTCTATTGCTGTGAAGAGACACCATGACCACAACATCTCTTAGAAGGAAAACGTTTAATTGAGGGAGCTCGCTTACTGCTTCAGAGGTTCAGTCCATTGTCACTGTGGCAGGGAGCCTGGTGCCATACAAGCAGACGTGGAGCTGGAGGAATAGTTGAGAGTCCTACATCTTGCAACAGGAAGTTGACTGAGATGCTGTGTGGTATCCTGAGCATATGAAACCTCACAGCCCGCCTCTACAGTGACACACTCCCTCCAACAAGGCCATACCCATTCCAACAAAGCTGCACCTTCTAATAGTGCCTATGAGATTATGGAGGCCAATTCAAATCACATTCACATTACCACACTATCCTTCGGAAACCCTTGAGATTCCAGTGTTTAATGAACCACGAACAACAGCATATTCAATTCAGAATCACCATCGACTTACCTTATGAGCATAACTTTGGGCCTCTGCTCTTTTTCTCCCCTCCCACTCAGTAGCATGGGGACACCAGCACTTCCTCTCTCCTCCTGTATTTCTGTTTGTATAGGTAGCACAGTGTGACAGCCTGTAATACTTTTGCATTACAGGCTGGGAGAATGAAAAGATACTGTGGCTTGAGAGTGGGAACCCTCTGAATATGTTCTGCTACTTGGAAGGTCCACTGGCTTTTAGCAGCGTCAGTTTGGAGTGGGCTGTGTCGAACCTAATTTGCAGTTGCTTATGACTTTGCAGCCTCATACCAAGCCATGCAGGCAGAATTCTGGTTCGTCGTGTTGAGAATGAAACTGCTGTTTTCTGGTTCAGGTTACCTAGCCTTGGTGGTGGTGGCGGGGGGAGTCTGTTCAGAGCCAGCAGGAAGCTGGAGTCCCTGGCCTAATAGACACAACTGTCCAAGGGCCCAGATTCTGTTTAGTTGAGAAGATTTGCATCTGATTTCGTTAGATCTAGAATGACACAGACTTGTACGCTCTGATCATATTCTCCTATATGATGCCAGCGCCTGAACAGCTCAGTGGAAAATCACAAATCTCTCGGTGATATCCAGCACATTAGAGCTGTCCCTACGTTAGCCTACAAAGGTCACAGCACCCAGGGGCCATGGTTTCTAAGGGAATTTGTGGCAAAAGAGGACAAATCTACCTTCATGTCTTCTTGGGTTTGCTATCTCTTTGTTTTGTTGATCTGTAAAATTGTATTTAGTGAATATGAGCAATCAAGAAAAAATAGAAATTCGTAGTAACTACATTGAAATACCTTGGCGATTTGAAGCATTGCAGAGTCCTGTCTCACAAAGCACACAGACGCACTCAGGTGGAAGGTTCAGTTACAGTCATGTAACTCACATGTGTCCTGCGTGTTATCAGCGCTGTTAGAATTCTAGTTCTCCTGAAAGTAATTGCCAGTGCAGGTGTCTGTGGTTGACTCCTGGCTCACCTGGTGAGCCAACAGGGACTGTGTTTCCGGCGAAGGCTAGAGCCTGGAGGGTTCGGCTTTAGTATCTGGTAATAAGTGGCTCTCAGTTGATAAAAAAAATACTGAAATCTGACATATGTATGAAATTGATTCAAATTTGATAAACATGTCTCCAGAGGAACTGACTGCATTTATTAGAAGCTCAGGACAAGTCACTGAGTTAAAATAGCATTTTCCTGCAGTCCTTGCGGAGGGGTAATAACTGCTCCCCAGGTAGACTGAAGCCAGTCAAGAGAGGCAATCAGAAGGGGAAGCTCTGAGCGTTCTAGCTTTATGGAAGTCAGTGCTGACTATGAACGCTGCAGATATTCCAGGCAAGCTGTCATCCCCAGTGTGAGTGTGACTGCCTCGCTAGTAAGATGTGATGTGTTGATGGCTGTTAGGTTACATCTGAAATCCCATTTGCTGGCAATAGAGAAGCTCACTTAAGGCTTTTGCCTGATGTCTCCTGGTGCTTGATAGGACGTTGTGTGATATTCTCAATTTTCGCTTCAGGCCCGTTCCCGTGCAACAGCGAAGACTTCACAAGAATTTGCACATTTGATCTAGGCGAATGATACTGTTTTTACAGCAAGGCAACTTTTCCCTGGCAGTAAATGATAGGTGCTTCTGCACCTAAAGCAATGCATGTGTTTCCACAGAATTTTGAAAAAAAAATGTTTATTTTCTTCATGGGGGTTGTGACCAAGTCATTTCACCGCAAGGAAAGACCCAGTTGGTGGGAGTCTTGATGGGCCACTGTCAGGCCGTGGGCAAAACAGAAAAAAGAAAAGCAAAGTAAAAGCAACGTGTGCACACAGCTGCCCTGGGCCACCTTTGCTTCTGTCACATCACACGAGAAGTGTCTGCCCCAGGGAGAAGAACTGCTGCTCACCTGACACCTGAGATTTGGCCAGCACGGTGTCCCAGGCAGCAGGGATTTTTTCATCCAGCCCTGCTGATCTGCAGACTGGGACTAAATACCAGGCCTTTTGCAGTTGCCAAGAGCCCCCTTCAGTAGAAATGACACATTGTCTTTCTGTACCACGTTAAAGTGGGGAATTGAGCGGGGAGCCTGGCTGTGCTGTGGTGTGTGTATACATCTAGCCGTTCTGGCAGAACCATGTCTGGTAAGGAGGAAGACAGGGAGGAGGGGCGGTTCCCTGACACATCCCACCAGCAACAGAAGCAAACTCAGGCCTGGCACCGACTCGCCTTTTATTTTTTAAATGGTCTTTCCTCTTCCCAGGAACAAATTAACAGGTAAATTCCTCTTGTCCCATGGAAGTGGCATTAAGACTTCAGAGACACACATATTCACACCTCTCTTCCTTACATGAACTTTCTTTGAAATACTGTGTTTAGATCCTTCCTCCGTTTTTATATTGAGGATATAGTCTATGACATATATCATATTCTTACTACCAATCAGTCACTATAACCACCCACCTTCAGTCTCATGAGTGACACCTAACTGTGCCCCGAGAGAGGCCTGCAGAAACTGTGGAAAAACTGGGGAAGAAGAGACACCATTGTGTGGTTTTGGTAGCCACCAGCCGTTCCAGTTTTACTGGGTATGTGAGGGATTCTAACAGAAGCCCCAAAATCAGAGTAATGAAGCCAGAAAATGCCACTTGAATTCAGGGTCCAATGGTCAAGAGTCACTTTATTATCAATGTCCTAACTAGCTAGCTAGCTAGCTAGATACATACATACATACATACATACATACAAACATATGCATAGACGTATGTTCCTTGATACTTACTTTCCAGCAACTTTTATTTTCTCGAAGCAAGTTCACCTAAGCCGGTCATCTTCCTTGCATTATTTGTCTTGTTTCGTTGCCGTTCCAGGAGCAGACTCGAGGCATCCAAAGCTACTTCACATACAATGTGGAAACTAATAACCTTTGAAGGAGACCGAGGGAGCTGGGGCATAGCTCAGGACGCTTGACACACCGCTCAAGTGTATGTCCAACAGCTAGGTTCAAATCTCATCGGAGGGTGGGAATAAAAGGGAAGCTATGTACAGGTTAAAAGGGACAAAAACGGTGATGGCATAACTAGCCCTTGAGAATCTACACATAGCTATATCCAGAAAATACAGCACATGATATGGAGCTCTTCTTGAAATTAGTTGTATGACTGCAGGAGAGACAGAAGCTTCGTTGATGGGGATACTACAATATCTGTGGCTTCGCGGCCCTGCTGCCTCCGGATTCTGGCATAATTCGCTTTGATTTCCACCAGCTGCTTCTTTTCTGTTAAAAGAAAAGCACATAGCTATTCAGAGACAGGTCAACGTGTCTATAGAGTTCAAGTATAGAATTAACGTGCCAGATGATGAGGGCATCCAGGCCCCCTCGGCGATCCTTGCGTTTTCAGCACACACTTCCTGTGCTCACACTGTCAGGTGCGTGTTGCTGTTCTTTGGACGTCTGTGCAATCGGGGGCACTAGAGTGTGGTGATACCTTGTTTGTGCTCTAACAAATAAAGCTTGCCAGGAGATCCGAGTGTGGAGCTAGCCACTAGTTAACCACAGAGGCCAGGCAATGGTGGCACACACCTTTAATCCCAGCACTTGAATCTCATGCGTTTGCTCCCAGTAATTGGGAGGCACAAGCCTTTATTCCCAGCACTAGGAAAGATGGAGACAGGAAGAGAGACTACTGGGCAGAGAGAGAAATATAAGGTGGGAGGAGCCAGGAGTCCAGCCTCTTTCAGGTTGAGGAGTTGACGGGATAAGAAATGGCTGTGGCATGCTCTTTTGTCTTTCTGATCTTTCAGCATTTACCCAGATTTCTGATTCCAGGTTTTTATTCTAAGACCAGTTAGAGTTCACACTACACTAGAGAGGACTTTCTTCCAAACAACACAATGTCTCAACGGGAAGTTCACATAGGGGTGTGCTACAAAGACCAAGTCCACTGAAAAGATGGGAATCCAGGCACTGCGAACAGCACTTGGCCTTTACTGCAAAGGACAGAAAGTATTCTTAACAGTGTTGAGGATGTGAGAAAAAGACACCATCCAGAATGCTTCTGTTTTGTTTTGCCAAATGAAATTCATTTTAAAAATCAATATACTACATCCTCCTGTTAAATAATTTTTGCATTATTATGTATGAAATAATTAATTATCATGCTTTGAGATACCCAGAATGTCTTATTTTCTCACACATCCTTTAACTAGTAGGTCACAGGAAAAAAATCACATGTGGAATGATTAATTAGCTAAACATCTCATAATGAATAAAATACATCCATAAACATTTCTCTTTATTTTTCAAGTATTTGGAAAATGTAGATTCCTGTGAGATGATACTTTTCTTTAACTTCATGGAAACAACAAAATGGCTTCAAAAAAAATCAGGTTTGAAGAAATAATTAAATTTGCTTCTGTGACCAATCATACTGCCCAGAATAGACATGACTCACTTCTGTGACCAATCATGTGGCTTAGACAGTCATGATTTATTTACTGGAAAGAATTCAGGCGATTGGGGGAAGCCACAAACCCTTCACCAGGAAGGTGACATGGAGCACAATTTCCACAGGCCAGGAGCCAGGTTTGTCTTCACAGAAATGTGTGCTTATAAAACTGAAGATTTGAAAATGAATGTTTGTCTGCACAGACTTCTAGACGTGCTTAGCAAAGAGAAAAATGGTGGGGAGACTACTATTAGAATTTCTCATTTTCTCTCTCCCCCTCACAGATTTTACTGGGGAAGATTTTACTGGGGATTTACTTGCTCCCGGGAAGGCAGTCCGGATTTTCCTGGGGGGGGGGGGGGTGGAACACCCTTTGTGATAACTCTCCGAAGCAGGCATAGCTTCATTCAACAGTCAGGCCCAGCGAGCAGAGCACTACGAAGCCAGGAGGCAGGAGGCCCGTGATGAGAGCAGGAAAGCTGTTAACTTTTACATACGACAACAAACTTTGCCGTTTCTGAATGCATCTAAGTGGCCGCATGCATACTGAGTTGAGGTGCCAGGCAATGGTGGAGAGAAAGAAAACAGAATATGAAGAAAGCAAAGCCTGGGACTTTGTTCAGAAGGAAGGATATGCTGAGGGGGCCTCTGTGCCATCCCTCCGAACAGTGCTAGTGTTCCCAATAAATCTGTGTCTCCCCAGTTTTTGACAAGCAATTCTATACTTTAGTCTCTTCTGGCCTAAATGTGAGGATATTGTCTCCAACTGTCTTAAAACCTTTCCGTTCACCCAGCTTATATATAAACATAGTAATTCTATGGTTCATTTTTAACAGAAAAACTGCAATATTTTTATTATAGGGATATCAGATCATTTTCCCTAATATTTTAATTTTCTTTATATAATAACATGTCTTTTGGAATTTTCTAAAAATTATATTTTTGCTAGTATCTTCCTGGGGGCTTGAAATTCTTCAGGATAAGCAGTATAAAAGACTAGAGCTCATTTTGTAAACATGTTCTTTCCATTTCTGTCGTTTATCAATGAAAATAATTAGGAAATAAGGAGCTTATTAAAACTAACACAAACTCACTTTCCCCAGAGAATGGGAATCTGGAAACTGAGAAATTACAATAATGAAGCATTGTTTCAATTGATTCACATAGTAAGATGGCAACAGGAACCTCACTTTCCTATTATAACTAAGGAAATGGCTTCACACCTGGGTATCAATATCTCTGCAAATGGGACTGCGTGGGGCCCAAGGCTCACTGAAGCTTGGTTGAGTTCCTTAGAGTAAACCATGCTGACAATGGTTTTTCAGGCACACACAGATGTGAACGTCACCTTCATCACATGGAATAGCCCAGCATGAGGAGCGTAATTACTAAAATCATTCAACAGTGTTCAGAGTTCAGCAGGCAAGGACTCCGCAAAGAAGGCTAAATGCTTTAACTCTTCAAGACCTTGATAACAGAGGAGGTGTCACCCATACCTTTTGAGGTTATAAAGCCACGTCCTGTAGACACGCAGACAATCATATCCTTCTCTATGCTGTCCCATGACTGAATGAGCTCCCCATTTGAGGTGTACAGGGTTTTGGCTGGGTGGGACATTTTCAGACGGGCAGTGCACTCATCCAGCAGCTGAAACACAAAGGGACAGCCATATTTGAATGACAAATATCTCAAAAATAGTTATTAAAACTCTTTTTATTGAGACAAGGTTTCATGTAATACAGGCTCTTAGCCTCCAACTCTTTATGTGGCTGAAGATGATCTTGAACTTCTGATCCTCCTTCTTCTACCTTTCAAGAGCTGGAATTACAGGCGTGCACCACCAGGCTGGGTTTCTGTGTTACCGGTCTCAGGGCTTCATGAATATTGGGCAAACACTCCACCAATGGAACTGTATCTCAATCCTCTAAAGCAGTGGTTCTCAACCTTCCTAATGCTGTGACTCTTTAATACAGTTCCACTGAGTCCCAATCATATAATTATCTCACTGCTATTCCATAACTGTAAGTTTGCTATTGTTATGAATTGTAATATAAATATCTGATATGCGGGATATCTGATGTATGACCCCCCCCAATTGAGAACCACTGCCCTAAAGAATTGCTTTTCAGGGAATTCTATCCTTACTTAAACATTCATTCAGTTATACTTTTTGGACATAGGAAGTAAGGAGGGCATTGAAGAATGGCACACAGAGAGTGTCTGCTGACATGCTTTAAAGTGAGGGGACTCCAGTGGTCTTCGGGGAAGTTTCCTTATAGGCATAATTTTTTTTTTCACAGATGAAGGCATCTTGATGTTTAAGAAATTTCTAAATACAACAAATCTTGGATTAGTCTGGACATGACAAAATAGCTTCATTCTTTTTCCTTTTTTCCCCAATTTTTTGCTTAATGACCAAAGAACTAGACATACAAATAGTGAGAAAACCCAGACCCTATCCTTTGTTTCATAAACAGAAAGTCTGGAAAATTGATAGAGGCTGTATATTTTATCAGTTAAAACACTTAATAAACATAGAATCACTGAATGAGAGAAATCTTAATATAGAACATACTTTGTAACTGAGATGATATTCAAAGCAGGTTCCAGAGTGTAAGAAGTACCTTTTCTCAGTGGGTAGGAATTATTTTATCCTTAGGAAGCTTTGGTCAATCAAATAATGAAGAACTCAATAATAAAAATGAGAGCATTTAAATGAAAAGGTAAATAGTAAACTTTAGAGCATTAATAATGTTTCTGTTTACTAAAATTAGACATCCAGAAAATACAGTGGATGAAAATTTATTCCCAAATGAAACCAAACAGAAATAATTATTTTTAAAATGTGAGTTCGTTTTATGAGACCTATACAATTTTACTGATGGACCAAAAATCTGATTCCATGCACATAAAACTGCCACAAATCTGACTGTGAAAAGTTGTCAATCACAAAAGTTGTCAATTTTCATGAAGTTGATTAATAGTCTTGTACAGCTGCAGTCAAAACGCCCATGTGATGATTTTATAGGGGGAAAAGGACTTCCATAATTTGTTTACAAGATGCAATAAACAATAATCCTGCAGTAAAATACAATAGCGAAATGAAATAGTGAGTAACTGTCACTTTCAGGAGCAAACTATGTTATAAATTGCCAATAGTTTTAAAAGCATTAATTCTGCAGCCCACTTAGCAGCAGGGTGATCTCTACAAGAGTGTAGTGCCTTCTAAACCGGCATTGCAGCCCCACAGGGACCAAGGCTAGCCAATAAACAAAGCTGAGAGAATCATTTTAAACCAACAAAGATGAAAATATTTTCAATTAAATTTTCACCAGAAAAGCATCCACATAGTTGTTAAAAGAAAAACAAACATAAAAATTTAAAGTAAAAAATCCCCGAATCTTGTTATAACCTTGATATAGTGAAGAATTATCTAAAAATCTTAAAAGCAACAAATAAACATATCATTGATTACTTCTTGTATGTTTTCTAAAAAAAGAAAAAAATAGACAAGTGGAAAGTCGGATGCGTGCCACCACAGGTCTGATAGTCACATGAAATGACAGAAAAAGAAATGTCTCATCAATATGCAAAATGTATCCAATAGCAAACTGCAGAATTTAATAAGAGACCTGGAGAACTCATGGTGTTATATTGTTCTTCAGAACAGAATGCTCTGAATGAAGAAAACACAAAACCTGTCAATATTCTCTGTATAAGTCACTGAGACAAATAAGGTAATATCAGCCTTTACCATCTCTCTTCAGTCATGTGTGTGTGTGTGTGTGTGTGTGTGTATGTGTGTGTGTGTGTGTGTGTGTGTGTACAAATGCACATAGGTGCCCATGTGTGGAAACCAGACACCAACCTTGGATGCAATATGTCACTTCCCACCTTTTCTTTAACATAACTTTTTTATTGATTCTTTGGGAATTTCACACTGTACACCCTAATCCCATTCATTTCCCAATTCTTCCATGTTTACCCTCTGCCCTTGTAACCTCTCCCGAAAAAAGAAAATTTACAAAAAAGAAAAAGAAAAACTTTTCGCTTCTCTGTCCTTCCTGCCTTTCCATCATATATTTGTCATAGTGGCCTTGGGCGCTGTGGTGTGTCACAGAGTAGACCCTTTTGTTCAAACAGATTTACTTGCAAATGTTCATTGTAATGAGTTGTAGGTCTGGTTCAAGACCACCAGCTCCTGGTATGCCATCAATACTGGACCCTCACCAAAACTTCTCCCAGATATCCTGCTGTTGCCCTGAGTCTTGGAGATTACTGAGTCTTGGAGATTACTGTGGTTACACTTCACACACTCCAGCAGGTCATAGATGGAGTAGATGCTGGAGTGTGCTAACTCAAAGCCTTGGATGTGGGCCAGGATGGTTGCTGAGTTAGTCAGTATGGGCCAGCTCTCCTTGTGGTGAGAGGTGAGACCAGTTCTGCCTTGTGGCAGACAGCAGGGGCTAGGGGGGGAAGCTCCCATGCTATTGGGGCCAATTATGAAGGTTGGGAGCTCTTCCACTGAGGTGGCTGGTGAGAGAAAGGACCTGTTCCCCCATGCCAAGGCCATCATGGCCAGCTCTCCCATAGTGTCCAGTGATAATATGGGCCACTGACATCAACACAGATTCCAGCTGCTGTAGGACCACAGACCCAGATAATGGCCCTCAACCACAGCTCAGTCCAGACATTCCATGGTACTGGTATTGCCCTGTGGCAACATGGCCCTTGGACACTAACAGTCTTAATTTCCACTTCAACCATCTTTGAAGATGAAACCTCAAAGAGACACGTGAGGTTAAACATGGGTATGAAGGAGGGGCTTAACCTAACAGGGATGGTTTCTTTATAAGAAACAACAAAGCCCCTTTTTCTGTCACACAAAGAAAAGGTTGTGCAAGAACAGAGCTAGAAGGGGGCCCTTAGCAAGCAGTGGGAAGACGTGTTGGCAGAAGCAGGAGGTTGCTAGTCACGCTAGAACCACAGTCAGAAAAGCCCCAGTGAACAGGAAGTCAAGCTATCTATAAACTCTCATCCCCAGAGACCTACTTCCTTCAGGAGGTGGGGCCTCCTGAAGGTTCTACAGCCTTCTCAGACAGTGCCACCTGCTCGGGACCA